ACCTATCCCCAGAATGGCGAACCTATGGTACGCGTGCCACAGGTGGCACGTGGAGTCATTTGTCAGGGCACGCGAGGCGTTGCTCTGTCAGCTGGCCAGCGCGCATGGCGGAAGTTTGGGAAAGGACTTCTGGTGTGCTCGTAGGGTCGTTTTTCGTGTTCCAGGACTTTCAGGGAATCCTCTGGAAGGTCCCTGAAGGCTCCGGAGGACTAAAACCGACCCTACGAGCACACCAGAAGTCCTTTCCCAAACTTCCGCCATGCGCGCTGGCCAGCTGACAGAGCAACGCCTCGCGTGCCCTGACAAATGACTCCACGTGCCACCTGTGGCACGCGTACCATAGGTTCGCCATTCTGGGGATAGGTGGTACCTCGCTCAACAATAGTAACTGTGAGAGGGATCTTGGAGTCCTAGTGGGCAACCATTTAAATACGAGCCAGCCGTGTGCAGCAGCTGCCAAAAAAGCCAACACAGTTCTAGGCTGCATAAAGAGAGGGATAGAATCAAGATCACCAAAAATGTTAGTACCACTTTATAAAGCCTTGGTAAGATAATGCTTGGAATATTGCACCATTGGTCACCATGATATAAAAAAGGGTGTTAAGCCTCTGGAAAGATGGAGAGAATAGCAACAAAATGATTAGGGGACTGCAGATTAAAACACATGAAGAACGGTTGCAGGAGTTGGGTATGTCTAGTTTAATGAAAAGGAGGACTAGGGGAGACATGATAGCAGTGTTCCAATATCTCAGGGGCTGCCACAAGAAGAGGAGGTCAAGCTAGTCTCCAAAGCACCTGAAGGCAGGACAATTAGCAATGGCTGGAAACTAATCAAGGAGAGAAGCAACCTAGAACTAAGGAGAAATTTCTTGAACAATTAATTCAGTGAAAGGAATTGAACTGCAGAAGCTGTGGGAGCTCCATCACTGGAGGTTTGGATAGCCATTCATCTGAAATGGCATAGATTTCCTACTTGAGCAGGGGGTCAGACTAGAAGACCTCTAAGATCCCTTCCCATTGTTATTCTGTTAATAGAGTGGAAGATGCTTGGGATTTCAACCCAGACCTCCCATACACTCCTGGGACGTATAAGTAAAAAAAAAAAAGGAAGAGATTCGCCACTGCCTTCTTCTGGGACGCTTCCCCCACCCCCCGATTCTCCAGCCTAATCTGCAGCACGGGGCATTTCCTCGTGGTCTCCTTTCCCAGATGTTAACCATGCCTCCACCTCCTCCTGCCGGCCAGCGGATAGCAAAGACGGAATGGCGGACAACAAAGATCCCCCACCCTCGCCGCCCTTTTGTCCCGCGATGGACATTCGCAAGGCGGGCGCAGCGCAAAGCGGATCCTCCGGGGCGCAGGAGATCGCAGACGGCTACGGCATCCCGGGATCCACTCCCGCGCCCGCCGGCTCAAGGGGGATCGGCGCACCGGCCAGGGCGCGGCGGAGGCGGCAGGGCCCTCCTCCGGTTCCCGGGGCCAGCAGAGCAGGCCGGGGCCAGGCGGCGTCCAGCGTGCCTCCCGTGGGCGAAGGGACCCCGAGCGTACCTGCAATCCCGGCGCAAGCAGGGCGGCTGCTCTGGCCCGCTTGCACCCGGCCGTCCCGCCGTTGCAGCGGAGGCGGGAAGAGGCGCCCGTCCCCGGATTGCGGGGGTTTGGGGAAGCGGGGGATCCGACGGCGCCGCGCCTCTTCTCTCCTTTCCGATCCCGCCGGCCGGGCGCTGGATTAATGGCGGAGCCGCAGAGCAGGCGAGGCTCCTGGCCCCACCGCCCCCTGCCGGCGGATCGGCGTTTGGCTCCGCCTCGACAAAGGCCCCCTGTTCGCACGGCGCCCCGAGCCAGGGATGGGAGCCGGCTTGCGCTTGGCTGACCCTCCGCGCCTTTGCGCTCCTGCCCGCCTGGACTCGCTTTCTAGCATGGGGGTGAAGGTGGACAGGTGAGGGCTGTCCTTGTAAACTGGCCCCTGTCGCCGGATTGCAGGACCCGGGCCCCTGCTTGGCCAGATGGGATGGGTGCATTAGGTGGGTGATTGAGCCAGGCTGACACAACACAGTCACACACCCAGACACACACCATGGCCATGAATGTGTGGAGAGGGCACGTTTTGTGAACGTGGGTTTGCAGTGCGAGCTTGCATGTGTATGGATGGATGGATGTGTAGATGGGTGCATGCATAAATAGACTAGACTAGACTAGAATACAATAAAATAGAATAACACAGTTGGAAGGGACCTTGGAGGTCTTCTAGTCCAACCCACTGCCTAAGCAGGAAACCCTATACCGTTTCAGACAAAATGGTNATAGGTCTCTGGGAGGTAACTGGCAGGAGGCGGTCTCTCAGGTAGCCAGGTCGAATGCTGCAGGAAGCCGTCCAGATTGAAAACTGGGGCACGGGGCCATGGCCCGCGGAGAACTACAATGCTGATCCTGCCCTCGAAGAGACCCCGTTTGACGCCCCGGGAATAGACACATCTTTCCTAGTTGATTAGGTACAGCAAAGGTGTCAAACTCAAGGCCCAAGGGCTGGATGTAGCCTGCGGGGTGCTTAGATCTGGCTCATGGGGCCGCCCTGGAAACAGCGAAGGACCGGCGTGCGGTGCCTCTGCTAGCAAAAACAGAACTCGGGAGGGCAGCTCTCCTGAACTCTGTTTTTGCAGGCAGAGTATTGCAGGAGGCCATCATAGCCAAAAACGGAGCTTAGGAGCCCATTGCCTGGGCTCCATTTTCACTGCAGAGGGTTTCAGGAGGCCATTGCGGCCAAAAACAGAACTAAGGAGCCCGATTTTGCTGGCAGAGCACTCAGGCCACAGGTGCCCCCAACACAAGTGACGTCAAGCTGACCACGCCCAGCCCAGCCCCGAGGTCAAACATAACCCTTAGATGCGGCCCTCAATGAAATCAAGTTTGACACCCCTGAGGTAGAGGTCCTTGAATCAAAGTTGGAGGGCCATTTGTCAGAGATGCTCTGGGGGTTCCTGCACGGAGAAGGGAGGGTTGGACTTTAGGACCTCTAGGGAGCCCTCCCAATTCCAGGACCCTTACCCAAAGAATCTGCATCCCCATCCTCCTCCTGCATGACTTGCCAGAACATGGTCTGCTGGCCTGACTGGATCGGGGTTGGCTCAACCACATTTAACGAAACACCAGCGTCTTTCAAGTCCATGGGATCCTAGAAAAGGGAAAAAATCACTGACAGAAGGTCCAAAGTATGCAGATCGTTCCATGGTTAATAATTTTTGCAGAATAACACACGACAATGGTAAGTGTAACACAGGATCCTGGATGCAGAAAGGGAAGATGGATGGATGGATGGATGGATGGATGGGAGGGAGGGAGGGAGGAAAGGAAGGAAGTGAGGGAAGGAGGGGGGAAGAAAGGAAGAAAGAAAGAAGGCAAGGAAGGAAGGAATGGAGGGCAGGAAGGAGGAAAGAAAGGAAGGGAGGGAGGGGAGAAGGAAGGAAGAAAGGAAGGAAGGAGGGAAGGAGGCAAGGAAGGAAGGAATGGAGGGAAGGAGGAAAAAAGTAAGTAAGGAAGGAAGGAAGGAAGGAATGGAGGGAAGGAAGGAGGAAAGAAGAAGCGAGTGAGGGGGGGAGAAAGAAGGAAGGAAGGAATGGAGGGCAGGAAGGAGGAAAGAAAGGAAGGGAGGGAGGGGAGAAGGAAGGAAGAAAGGAAGGAAGGAGGGAAGGAGGCAAGGAAGGAAGGAATGGAGGGAAGGAGGAAAAAAGTAAGTAAGGAAGGAAGGAAGGAATGGAGGGAAGGAAGGAGGAAAGAAAGGAAGCGAGTGAGGGGGGGAGAAAGAAGGAAGGAAGGAATGGAGGGCAGGAAGGAGGAAAGAAAGGAAGGGAGGGAGGGGAGAAGGAAGGAAGAAAGGAAGGAAGGAGGGAAGGAGGCAAGGAAGGAAGGAATGGAGGGAAGGAGGAAAAAAAGTAAGT